CAACATAATCATCTATGACCTCTCCCGTTGTGGCGGGGCTTATCTGTATGGAGTACTTCCAGTTTGCGATGTTGATAAGAGACTGTAAGATGTATCAAGTTAATTGATCCCTTGCCCCGCGGATTCCGATAATATTCTGATATTCTACTTCGTAAATCGTAATGCCCAACCCGAGTATCAATCTTCGGAGAATTTTCCCTGCCAATATTCTTTAAATTCTTGGCCCAACATCAAAGCGTAATCGCAATGCACACTTCCTTTCCAGGCTGCTATATGGATTGGTCCTGGATTGGACCTACCAGTTATGGCAATTCTTGAGAATGTAGATATTCTATAGTAGAACAAGGAACTAGGGACTTGCGTGTCCACAACTCCTCACTTCTAGAGTCTTATATTACGATAATCCTCCTTCTGATCCACGCTTAACACCCTACTGCCTCTCAAATCTCCATCACCCTGCATGCAGATTAGCAATTTGCTTAACCCAAGCATGCCAAGTTCCCCCAATTCACAAACGAAAAGTCCACCCCCTCCACCATAAATCAATCCATAGTCATGGGAACAAAAATGTTCCGATACAATCATACAACATCCATATCCCAAAATGAATCAAGTCGGGCATATTACCGAGAATATGCCATTACCGAGATGCTATGGAGATCTTTCTATTTTCTATTCAAGTCATACATATTTCCGCACTTACACTACTAACGATCCTTCACCGTTTGTTTCGTGGCAGATCATCGGGAAGAACTCATTTCACTATCATGGATGATATGTTTGATTCTCATTATATGATCCACTATTTGACTGACATGACATGATAACTATACGAGTATATTAATCGTATGGGGTATAGAAGATAGCAAGGCTCTTTTCTTCCTTTTGAAACTTTGGATATTAACTCCATGGAGTCGTTTACGAGGGCTTACGAGTGTAAATCGTGAGTCTTGAGTCGTGATAAAGAATTTTCATCATTCGGTAGAATTGAACGGAGATTTCAAAGACAAAGATCCACCACGTGCAGGAGCTTTTGGAACGCCCTTGGTTCACTTCTCGAGGAATTTCTACGGAATGCAGACTTCATTTGGAGATTAGTAGGTACACGCACGTCTTGTCTTTTCTTGCTGTTGATGAAGGAAGCTTGAGGCCCTTTAAGATGAGGGGCTTCAAATCTCAAATATCTGAGAGCTGAAGATCAGGAAAGGGACAACCACTGGTGGCTTGGCTACATCTTTACACAGTTACACATGACGCATGGTCTTTGCTTGGATGAATTTGCAGTTCTCTAGATCATACACGATGTCTACACGAGAAGCATGTAATTGCTTAGATGGAAGACGCTTGGCCATACATTTTGTTTCCACAAGAGACTTGTCCAATTTGTGATCAGAACGAGATGAATTCCTCTCAAATTTGAGCAAGTATTCACATTTCAAAGTCTGCTGTATAGAAGTCTATCATTCATGAGGGAAATGGATTCGCAATTGCCTGAATCAATAGCAGCTGATTGGTATTTGATTACTGTGGATACTTCCAGTACTCAGCGCCGTTCTTGGAATCCAAATGAATTATGCAAGTTTGCCGGATGGTTCAAACTTTCAACCAAACTCAAAATTATCATGTCAAAGGAAACGTAACGCAGAACGACTCGACGGCTACAGTTCTAGTACAGCTCATAAATTCGCGATGCGACCACCAACGTTACGAGAAGCTCGGGTCCACCAAATACCAATCATCAACAACATCAGTACTATTCAGCGCTCGTTAAATGCAAAAACAACACACCTTATTTCATAACAAACAAAGTCCAGTTGGCTCAGTGGTGGCGCACTTGGTTTTCACATCCTCTCAAACAGGATCACTGCTTCACAACCGAAGACTTTGTTTGTTAAAAATCAGTTCGCCTGGTTTTAATTCAATCCTGCGGCGCTTTCCCGAACAGGATTAATATTTTTTGCATTTTTTTTAATATTTCTTGCATTTCTTTTGGTGGGATGAAAATTAATGGAATGTAAGCACGGAAGAGTGGTCGGTCGATATATAAAAGGCGAACCTGATTGGCGCTTAATTAAACAGAGTAAAGGGTGGCAGTGAATCAAAGGTGAATCATCAGAGAGACTTGTTAGTTTTCATCTCTACTTTGCAACTGATTTTGCCAGGAGAAATACAACAGTGACAATGTAGCTTCTCAATGATAGACGAGAACTGTGGTGACCTGTGGAGAACAGGAAATGAAGACTACAACGCTAGGATTGAGGGACTGCTACACAAGATGGATTGAGACTACATAGCTGCTCATGAACTGAATCGGTCATAACGTATTGATAACTATCCTTGTGCGGGAAGACATTGAGGTGAATCTTCTTCCACACTTGAATTTTGGATCAGTTCTGAAATGCGCGGGGATGGAATTGATTTTCTACTTTTGGAGAGAAAGCCTCCCACAACTTTTCAATCACAAACTCCAAATATTATTACTTATTAAAAGAGAATTTCAGTATGTTTCAATTTGATTGTAATATGGTGTCTTGACTCTTCTCTAACCTCTGATCGGATATGAAAATTCTCAGGATTTGAAGCAAGAATGTGACGAGAAAGCAATTCGAGGACAACAGTAATATTCTGCCATTATCATCCGATAAGTATTACTGTCATCTCAAACTTCAACTTGCTGTTTCCTGTTTAGGTTGTCACATACCTCTCTGACACCTCTCTGCTCACGATATGAGAAGTGTAACAAAATGTCCCAATATTTTTGTTTGAATGAAAAAGCTATGGATCTCTTACCTTACCCAGAGTCTGTGGGGCTTTGCAGCAATCAAGCGGCCCTAGACTGCTCTCATCGGCATCTGTTGCTATGTTTCGTGATGCAACGATAGGCGATATTACTCTTTAACAAGGGATGCCGAATATTGAGGGTGCTAATTGGTCTATTCACCTATTAAATTAATCATCTATAGCCAGTGCGACTACGCGCCAGAATCCCACTCTATTAGCATTTTGCATTCAAAATGGTGGTACAAGTCACAGATAGGCTGTGAGACTTGCTTGTTTGGCCTGTTACTTCCATTATATTCTTAAAGATATATGGTATCGAAAATCCTGTCGTTTTGGGCTGGAGTTATGAATATTAGTGCAGTTATAAAGTTGTAACTCAGAGCTCTGTAAGTGGGAGGGAGGAACACGTTAGTGTTGATAGCTCATTGGTATGTCTGGTCTGTGATCCTCCCCTCAATACCATCCAAGGCCAAAGTATAATGTGGTGATGTCCTGAAATTCGCAACATCTTCGCTTCTCCAATAATTCAAAAGCTTATCTCTATTGCAAAGTCTCCAATTTAAGTAGATAATTCTCAACCCAGGATCGAGAGCTTAGCATGGGGTGAAAAATGGAATAATAGTGTAGATTCACTCACATGGGTTGAAAAGAATGGAGTGCTAGTATCCACTTTTCTTTCCTGGCTCTTGCCGGATTTGTCTCTTTTGTCTTCACTAATTTGTATATAAATACTCTGGGTAGAACTAGAAGGGAATAAATACCTTTAATAGAGAGAAATGCTGTGCGAGCTTCAAATAAATGAACGCTATTGAGGTTAGAGTCGGTTTCCAGTTGTTCTTGTGTAGATTAGGCATTGTGGCACAGTTAAAATTAGATGGATGAATGTAAATCTTTAGATTTTGTAGTCTTGACAATTAGCAGAAGAACATTTTTTCCGAAAGAAACATCAGATGATGAGAGTGATGGATGATGATTTCATAGCTCATGATATAGGTACGCAATCGATGATTAGAATAGACTAGATGATATGATTACGATGATCCTGTTGCGAATTTCGGAATATAACTCGTGAATTTGTAGAAGTGTGATTTCGAAGACGGAGAAGATTTCTGGCTGGTGTAGTTTGACTGTGCGCTTTTATCTTGTCGCATGCAAGGATTCTATATATAGTGCAGTAAGTTGCTGCGTGTGATGGTACAACAGTTGCTAGGTATCGGGTTCTCATCATTATCACTTCTCGGGGCTTTGCGGCTGGAAAGGATTGTTGAAATAGCGACCTTTGAGATGGGACGGGCATTCTGTGGGGCATTTATCTGGGAATTGTATGTAGGGGCCTCAGTATAGTGAGGGAATACAGGCCAAATCCATGAACTCATCATGATTTCATCGATCGCTTTCTTACGTAGTCAGAAGCCATGGCCTCAGTGTTTTCAATGAAAATTACATATCTTCCCAATTGCTGCATCATCAGTTAAACTGCTCCCAGAAAATGGATACCAACAATCAACATATTAAAGCACGATCATTAGCCCGTACATTGATAAATTATCCAGTGACTGCAATGAAATCCTAGCAAATGTGAGTGTAGCTAAATAAGAGGGGGATTAGCCTCAACCTAACCGAGATGTTCACTCCTTACATCGAATCATTCACTGGACCAAAAAGATTATCAAGTCACTAATCTCACTGAAGATTTGTGATTGAGCTGTTCATTAAGCAAAATGTATGGTATTTACATAGTTGAAAATCTTGATATATGCAAAATGTGGGCAAGCATTTAGAAAAATATCTGCACGATAAGTCAAACGAGAGTTGAGAGCATTCTTCTCGGAATATATGTGTTTAATGTTTAAGTCCGAAGGGTTTTTGACGGATATTTTGACTAAAGTGCACCAGGTGGGCGAAAGTCGTTGTCGAGTCCCAAATGCCAGCATCACTTGTCCGTGATTACAGTGTTGTGGCAATATATACTCAAATAAGACAACACCCCCAACACACTCAAACGGTTGAGAAAAAGAACTCAAGTGACTGTTTGAGCCATCAGATTGAAAAATTAAAGCCTTGATGAATCTTACTTCAAACATTATAGGGGAAAACCCGAACTTCATAGGGCTGCCAGGTGTTGATGTATCTACTTGAGAAACGGAAATTGTTCTTCGTTCCATGGTTAAAGGCATGTTGATTCGAGGTCTGGATTCAAGTGTTGTGGAAGCCGGACGTCAAAAAGCCCCCATTCTATCTATACTCATTCTAGTAATATAAGGATTCGGAGCGTATTCGCGTATCAGAGTTAGGAATATTTTATCCTCGCTCCGAGCCAAAACGTCGAGGCAAATTATTATGTACGTTTGTGGAAGTGGATTGTTGAATTTATGTGAACCTTGACTGTGGTTGTCACAGTAAAGAAGAGATAACTGTAGGCCATTAGATCCGAAAGCAGATTGTACATCGACTGAAGGGCCATTAACATACCTAGCAGTTTGCTTGTTGTACTGCAAACTGCTAGGTGTATGATTTGACGGAATGAGGGAAGCATAGGGACTCCAGAAACCATCGTACATCGTCAAGTAAGACGGCAGCCAACTGAAGCATTCATAATGAGTACAGAACGCACTTGGGGAAGTTGCTAGTAGACCTTGATTGTAGGGCTCATGAGAAGCCGTCCATAGGAATAGAGTTTGGTCCGAAGTTCGCTTAAGAATTTCTTGCTGAAGTCGAAGAAATGCATTTTCGGAGCCCTCCCCATACATTGGCAGCATATGAATATCGAACAGCCCCATCAAGCAATAGGCCATATCTTCTTTCCGGGTGGTTTCTCGTTTTGAAGCCCATGAAATTCTTTGGGCAGCATTGCAGTATCCCGGGTAAAGATTTCCGAGTATGACATCCCTGAGAACACCTGTGATGCGTTCGATAGCAGCTGCATGCTCGTTCTTTGTTCCTAATAGTCGCCAGTGCATATCAAATAGTAGTAGATGACGTGGTGCTATGAGTTCCTGTAATGTCCATCCACGAGTGAACCATTTGCTTTGATCCAAAGAGCCGATCTCCTCTAAGTCTGATAAATATGCGTAACAAACTGCAGATTCTTAATACCAACGATACATTGAATTGATGGCCTCACTAAGTTCCGCGGGGCTTGATTTGTCAATGCAACATGTGTCAACCCAGACCCAATCGTATTCATCTTCCCTGGCCCTTTTGCGACAGCATTCTAGCTTCGCAAAACCCTTCTTCTGATTGAAGTCGCCATTTCTGACATCTTCAAAGGTAGCCTCTTCTTCCACCCACCTATGAGAAAGAATGGCGTACGAGGGAGTATTTCGTTGGGAGAATTCCTGTACTCGAAAGGAGATGTTAAGCTGTCGAGGAATGGTCGGCAGAAGTAGTCGATAATGTGGGCTAGTCTGGAGACCTTCATAAGTGTCCGAAGCCCTGTGGTTGCAAATTCCGTGTACGACAAGGTGGTATCGTAAATCCCACCAATGACCTTAACTTGATAGTAATTATTGCGATGTAGATGAATATACACGTGATACACGCTAGTGCTTATTGCGTGCATACAGGCCTCACGGCTTTCAACCTCAAAATTATACACCATGTTCAGATGTATTTATGTTCTAATTGATCCTGATATCTTAGAGATTTACTGAGTTTTAAGTTAGATGGATTCGACCAGTCTTACTTCAAATGGAGTTAGTATTCTACAGTATTTAATTTATAATACATCCTTGGGTTTCCTCTCCACTTTATGTCTTACTACAGCTTTTAGATCTTGTTTTAGAAACTAGAAAGTACCGTGGGCACGAGAAGAGCTCGAGTCTCCGTGATTCAAATCAAGTGGCATGCAACTAACATCCTTTGGAATGGCATTGTCAAGCGGACGTATGTAACGACATATTCAAAATGATCGCATATCACGCTCCACCCAATATCACAAACGAAGCAAGTATATTAATCTCAACATTAGCTACACAATAATACTGACTAACTCATTGATCTTTTTCTTCTCCTACTTTCGAATGGCTTGGTTGATAGACATGGTAAGACATAACTACCACATAAGGAGAGACTAGATGCTACCACTTCTTAATCTATCTGCACAATTCTGGGAACATATAGTAAATTCAATGTCTTAAACCAGCTGTTAAGGTATGTTCTACCTCCCCCCTATTCCCCACTCTTCTCTCATTACCTTCCCCCTACGTCTCTCCTAATTTTCCAACAAAAACTCACAAAACAGAGCATAAATTCTGCAACTCAAATACAGACACCCTCCAGAGTAGCTCTCGCTGCCACCGCATTCTCATACACCAAGGATTTGTTTGGTAAAAGAAGTAGGAGTCTCACTTAGAGTTTGAAGCCAGAAGCGAATAAGTCAACTACCCCACTTTCCGACCACCCCCTCTTTTCGACCACCTCAAAAACCACACCGCTTTGAGTAATTATAAAATTTATACTTTGAATAACTCAACAATGCTTTAATCAATTAATTTGAAATTTTGATATTATTATAATTGTGATATGAAGAATAGATATACCGAAGAAGATATCGCAGAGGCTCTTAGAGCGATTACAAATGGAGCAAGCATACGAAGAGCTAGCTTGGATTATGGTGTTCCACGTACCACACTTCACGATCGAATATATGGTGGAGTTTCGCATCAAAAAGGCGCCCAAATACTTCAAAAGTTATCTCCAATTCAGGAGAATCGACTAGCAGAATGGATATTAGTACAGGAAGCTCTTGGTACTAGCCCTACACATCGTCAAATCAGAGAGATGGCAGAGCACCTCCTTATTGTACGAGGGGAGGATCCCTCACTTGGAAAGAAATGGATACATAGCTTTTTTCGAAGGCATCCTAATATTGGAACTAAGAAGCAACATCAAATCGATTCTGCACGAGTTTCAGGTGCTACATCTGATATTATTAAGAAGTGGTTCCGGAACCTCGCAATCCCTGAAATCAAGGCTATTAAGCCGGCCAACAGATGGAATATGGATGAAGCAGGTATAATGGAGGGTCAGGGTCTTAATGGACTAGTAGTAGGAAGCACTGATCGAAGATTTATTCAAAAAAAGCAACCTGGATCTCGAATTTGGACCTCTTTTATAGAATGCATTTCAGCCAATGGAAAAAGCATTACTCCCCTTGTAATATATAAGGGAAAATCAGTTCAGCAACAATGGTTTCCAACAGATTTGACTCTATTCAAGGGTTGGAACTTTACCGCTACAGAAAATGGATGGACTACAGATGCTACAGCTTTAGAATGGCTGAAAAAGATCTATATCCCTCAAACTACCCCTATTCAGCCGGAAAATTCAAGACTCCTCATTTTGGACGGACACGGAAGCCATGAAACTACAGCATTTATGTTAGAATGCTTTAATAACAACATATATCTCTTATTTCTCCCACCACATACGTCACACGTACTACAACCACTCGATTTATCTGTGTTCTCACCCCTAAAAAGTGCATATCGAATCGAACTTAATAAATTAAGTCTATTATCCGATTCCTCACCAATTGGAAAGCGCAATTTCCTTTCTTGCTATCAGAAGGCTAGAATAGAAGGTTTAACTATTCAAAATATCAAGTCTGGGTGGCAAGCTAGTGGTCTTTGGCCCAAAAATATGGCTAAACCTCTTATGAGTCGACTTTTGCTTGAAAATAGCAATAGAGAGGTTTTATCACTTAATCCTGAATCTGATGATGATCCTATTCTTCAATGGAATATATATTCATCGTTTATTCAATGGAAAACCCCTCAAAAAGGAGCCGATATCAGAAAATATAGAGATATAATGATTCAAGAGAAGGAGATCGATTTGCCAACACGAAGATTACTATTTCGCAAGATTATAAAAGGATTCGATGCTAAGGATTATGAACTCTTAGAGGCAGAGAATAAGATTAGAAAGCTAGAATATCAATTAGATGAAGCATTACCTAGAAAAAGGCGAAAGGTTGTGGTATCTCCAAATTCGAAGTTCGCAGGGATTAGAGCTATAAGGCGTACACAAATTGAAGCTGGAGATCGTGAAGATGAGGTAGATGATAGCTCTAGTGCTATAGAAAGTGATTCTACAGGCGATTTCATTGAAGTTCAATAGTTATTGAGTTATTAAAGTTTTAAGTGTAGATAATATGAATTTTTTAGGTGGTCGGAAACAGGGGGTGGTCGGAAAGTGGGGTAGTTGACTTACTACCAAAAGTGTCTCTTGGAGACAAAACCACTCCTACCACTCACCCAATAGTACTCGTCCCTGCTCCAGACACAAGTAACTTCCAAGTCTAGTATATCAATGATTCTGTAGTTCTCTAGTTGCAAATGCAGGTCGAAGTGAATAGACTTACTATATTGACCAAAACCCTGATATTTCACTCAAAGCACATGATCTCCAGTTCACAGTCTCCAAAACAACGAACTAGAATGGGCATCAAGGTGTTCCTATTTCTTTCCCCAATTCACCATTCATTCCAAAACTTCCAATCCCAGCCTTTTATAAATGCTCAACTCCTAGAATCACGCAGTCCAATATTGCTGAAACCAAGCTATACGACTGGGACATGGCTTTGCTGGATTGGACTTGAAAGCTGTGCTATTAGCAATATATCTATCTACCTCTAGATGAACTTAACATTGATTTCGCTCCCTCGAGCTCCTTTTTGAAAGACAGTGCTGCAATGTACATCATCCGATACACACTCCGATTCTCTTCATTCTTGATAATATCGAAAAAACGGGAAATAGCAACATCCATTCATACCATCCCATCTGTGAATCCCATATGCCAATCCCATCCGTTATTCCAATCATATAATCATATGATCCAATCATTCATTAATCTAATCCTACCGTCCGTTTACCGAATAATACCATAAGAACATCTAAAACAATCAAATCAACAACTAAATCCCCCTCTTACCCGTAAAATATACAAGCTCCACCGGAGTAAACGCAAACCCATCCCCATCTTTCAATTTGACACCCCTCCCTCTTCCTCAACCAATACCAAAGAAATTCCTCCTAGGCCCACAAACTCCCTCTCTCCCCACGCTCTTGTCGTTGAGTCCCTCAAGTGCCTAACTGTAACACAGAAATAGAGCAAGTTGTGTATATATAAACAACCACTCACAATGACAGATTGCAAATCAAAAGAGGCAACAAAATGACTCGCTGACAGAGTGAATCTCTGTAGCTACACTCCAGCAGAAGCATTTGCAACAAATGATTAAGAAACTTCGAACCACACGAATCCCAAAATCAAACTCCACAATCCACAATCCCCACTCCCAACCTCTCAACACAATCTCCATCCCCCACCCGATCTTTACTCCCATTCTCTATTCCGCACATCGATCTTTAAGCGAATTTTCTTAACGTCCCGAATAATATTCAGGTAGGTATATAAAAGCTCTTTCTATTGATCTTACCTACCCCTCCATTGCCAACTTAGAATTATATGGCATAAGCGCAGATCTTATGGTGACATTGGAACTGTGTGGCCTAAGAATATGGCTCTAGTACTACTATACGCCGCTAGACTGTCTAGAAATTGATTGGAAACTTAGAGATTGAAAAACCAGACACAGCGTAGTACATTCCGTCCGATAACTATCCCACGACCCTTCATCTCGCTCGCCGTATGAACTTCGAGTAGGTAGGTAGGTATAGATGACAACTAATTCATAGATTCATACGGGTAAAATTAAGCGAACGATAATGAACCCCTAAATCGCAGTATGATACAATGTTAATATCACGAAATAAGACATTAGACGAATAACCTAGATCAAATATCTCGCGTAGTATATTTATCATTCGACAGTAAATAAACTTCGCTACCAATAACTAGATATGATGAGATAGTAGATTCGCAGACGGATTCTAAAAAGAAGGATTTGGATATCTCAGACGGGTATATAATTTCCACACAATAGGGCAACCAGGCATACCTAGGATAGATGTGAGACAGTTTGTTTGGAAAGCAGAACTGCTTTCAGGGCTCGCTACGAGTTTGAGGAATAGGTTCTAGAGATTCGTGCTTCCAAAGAACCACGACTACCGGTTGAGTGATTAAAATGACAGATTGGAGACAGTGATGGCAGTGGACTGGCAGTAGTTAATTGTTTATTCTTGAGATGGAAATTCAGTGCAATTTTAGCAAGTGTTCGTACTTGTTTAACATTCGGAGCTATCCTTCATGCAGATATTTCTCAGATTCTAAATTCTTGGTAGATCACGCCACCTGTGAAGTTCCTCGGTAGTGTTCCTGTTTCTGTTGATAGAGTACTGAAGAGTCGAAGGCATCTTGATATTCATACTAGATACTTGAATCTAAAAAGTAGTCTCAAGCTCCACTGGAGTTCGCTAATTCTATCACCTTAGCCGCGGCTTCATCAAAGTCATCATATGCAAATAGTGGCAATCCACTTTCAGCAATCTATAATTTTAAGAGAAAAGTCAGTAAACAATTATTCTTCTCACCACGTTCCAAACCAATAAATAGATCACAACTAAAAGAAAAAGAAAACTTACAATCCTCTGCCCTTCTTTCTCATTCGTCCCTCTAATTCTAACAACCACCGGCACCTTAACTCCCAACTCCTTGAAAGCCAAAAGTATCCCCTCGGCAATCATATCTCCTAAAGTCAACCCCCCAAAGATATTGACTAAAACCACCTTCACCCTCTCATCTCTCAATATCACCTCGAAACTCTTCTTCACCGTTTCCGCAGTTGCTTTCCCTCCAGTATCCAAGAAATTGGCAGCTTTACCCCCTGCATCTGCTAAAGCATCTACGGTATTCATAGCCAACCCTGCACCATTCACCAGTGTCCCGATATTACCATCACCGGCAAGTCTGATGTATACTATACCGTCTTTTTCGGCAGCTATTTCGGCAGGATCTTGATTATCTGCGCGGGGAAGAGAATGAATCTCTGATTGACGATTCGTACTTTTAAATGCGGCATCATCGAAACCAAAACGTGCATTCACAACCACCATTTTCTGATGACCTTCTAGTTTCGTTGCTTTTTGATTTTTTACGACGCATTCGAGGAGGAAGGCTTCTTTTTCTTTGAAGAGTCCATACAAGCCGAAAATGAGTGATTTCAACAACCTGCTTTGAGATCTCAATCCCAAATGAAAGCTGCATTTATGGAGGACATTAGACATTCTGGCTGCATCGTATGAAAACGGAAGCTTTATCGATTTTGTAGGGGACTCATTCTCTTTACCCGGCCCCTGTATTATTAAACATGGACATCGGTTACTTCGATCAATGCCAATAGCAAGGTGGTAAGTGTGACCAGCTGGGCTTCTAATGATTTTCTTTTCGTCAAGCAATTTAAATGCATCTCCCTCTTTGAGATATATGGTTCTTCTTTGCGTCATGTTCATTTGTGAAATGCTTGGTGTTGGACATACCCTCATTGTATGGTAACCTCGCTTTTGAGAATGACCACCTGTAGCCACGCCATTACTGGATCTTCCGGAGCTCTTTAATAAAGCCTTCATAGCATTACCAAATTTGGCTGGATGATTGACCATAGTAACTCCTACATCTTCGAATGCTTTGATTTTTGTCAACGCATCAGGTTCTCCTGGTAAAGTGAAAGCTCCAGCATGACCCATGACTTTACCAGGAGCTGCATGAACACCAGCTACTAGTGCTGTGATAGGTCTACGAAAGGTTAGCATAATTCAAAACGTCTGTAGGAAGCTTACTTGGGATTTGGGGAACGTTTTTTATATTCCTTGATCCAAGCTGCAGCCTCAAGTTCTGCTTCACCACCAATTTCACCGATAATAATGATTCCTTCAGTATTATCATCATGTTCGAAAATCTTTAAAGCATCCACAAAATTAGTGCCAGCCAATACATCACCACCCATTCCAATACAAAGACTTTGACCAAGCCCGGCCCTGGTCGTTGATGCGACGGCTATCAATATTAGTATTGATCAAGATCATCTGCCTAGTAACGTGCCTTCATAACTCAAAGTTCCCGACTTAGCGATAATACCTATTCGACCTGGTGTGAAGCAAGAAAGGGGTTGGAAACCAATTCGACATTTTCCAATTGCCGAAATAATTCCAGGGGCATTTGCACCAACTAATCGACTTTTTGATTGAGTATCCAGTATATTATGTATCTTAAACATATCAGTTTTGCTTTCTTGTAAATTATTGGAATCATACCCTTAACATATCATGGATAGGGATGTGTTCAGCAACAGCAACAATGAGAGGAACTTCTGCTTCAATGGCTTCTTCAATTGCGCTTGGTGCTTGATGAGCTGCTACATAAATTCCAGTTGCATCTGGTTTAAGTTGTTCCATTGCCTACCTCCGGTTGTTAGTATAGTTAACATCCATAATCGTGATATACTTGCCTCCTTTACAGTAGGTAAAACTGGTAATCCCAAATGCTCTCCGCTCTTTCCAGGTGTCACACCACCAACTATATTAGTTCCCCATTCTAACGATTCTTTTGCATTTGCTGTGGCCTTCATAGAATATTGAGATCAGCATGGGAATCATTAAAGATTCTTAACTTTGGGATTTCACCTGTCTACCTGTACCAGGTCAGTCATGATACACCCCCCCCAAAACAGTCAATTACACATTATCATACCTGTGAACCCCTGAAATATAACTCTAGTATGGCTTCCGATCTTCAATTTCTTGATTGTTTCTCCATATCTATCCTCATGTGTATGTTTACCATCATCCCTACGTACAAAATGCTTCAACGTTCTTGTGCCGGAGTACCCAAATCTACCCCGCGTGAGAGCTTTTGAACGTATCATTTTGTCTGTTCGGAGGTAGAAAGAAACTACGGAGTATGTACAATATAAAATGGACAAACTATGGGGTATAAACAAATCATAAAATAGTCTCGCCGTCGCAATATTTAATATAGTTGTCACGAAGTAATCGAAAGATGTAGGTATCTCAAGCTACAAACCTCAAGCCTCGGGAACATGTATTGGGAATAAACGCCGACGAGCTTGAGCTTGAGCTTGAGCATCACCTAAACCCCGTCTTCACATATGTGGGGAAGCAAAGTACGTAGTAGGTAGGTACGCACGATCTCTTGCATTGAAATCTGGACCTCTACGGTACCTCCACACACTCATTTTCCGTTTTCCACCTCGTACACAAAAAGCCTAGTAGAATGCTGCATACCTCGTTCCACATGATAAAACCCAAGTTCTGATATCCCGTTCCCGTCACCTGATATGTATCTACTCGGTGTCTTGCGCCGTCCGTTCGTCCATCCAAGCAATAATTCATGGGAGGTAAAAGATCAGCTAGAGCGTATTCCACCAATCCACGATGCGGAGAATTCGTTTTGGGTTAGCCGTGGATATCCCGAGCTGGAGAATGCGCTACGCGTCTCTATGAGTGAGGGATCGTTTGTTACCCGCACACACACTACACTTCCTGCTCTGGACCATTGAACGCAGTTGAATTGAATTCTTCTACCTATTAGAACACCGAGCAAACACAAATAACCATTTTCACTCAATCTCAATCGCAATCATGACAGTTGAACCAAAAGGTATATTAATTGCTCTACCATCTTTCCTTTCCCCCCACGAACCCCGCAGCTAATTCCTCTCCCAGACCTCTCCAACACCCTCAGCAACCTCACCATTAATCCCTCCTCCACTTCCCCCAAACCCTTTTCCCGAGCCAAAAAATCCAAATCCCTCGCCGACTCCTGGGAAGACGAAGCCTCCTCTGGTTCCGACACCGAGACCGAAACCGACCCTCCCCAACCCCCATCAACAGAAACCACACTATTCCCCACCTCCTCTTCATTCCCCTCCGCACCACCACCTACCCCTATTTCACCCCCTCCACCTAGCGAACACTTTCCACCTCCTCCATTTTCCTCCTCCAAAAAACCCATCAATTCCTCCTCTGCCCAAGAATTTGAGAATCCCTATGGTTACCCCGGCCCCTCATCCTCCTCTCCCAATTCTGCGCGGGGCCCAGAACGCAGACAGGAAAAAACAGATGCTGTAGCTCGACGACTCATAGCAGGTGCATTGGGTGTTCGCGCACCGAAGAAAACAGATGAACAGAGGGAATATGAACGGGTGCAAAAGGAAAAGGAGATGAAGAGGAGGAAAGAAGAGAAAGATGAAGAAGAAAGGAGGAGGCAGGAGGCAGAAAAAATCAAGAAAGGGGTGTGGGATGATTAGTTGGTTTCATTGAGAAATGGAGATAAGTATGAAGAAGGATGATGGAAGAAGGGTTGAGGGCTAAGAGAGATCTGATTTGGAGTTATAAGCACGAGGTATAGAGCTTAGAAGTAAGAGGAGGGCCATGCATATATGTTCTGTACTCTTACGCATTCTACGCCGAGGTGTAGCACGCATCGAATGTGTGCATGTATAGATGCACAAGTTACTATTCCAGAGCAATGAGCCATGTTGATTCTAGGCCGCCGGTTTGGTAGCAACGAAGAATTATATCCTTCATGAAGATGGAAGTTCACACTAGATACTCATACCGAGGATTCGGGATTTATTGTAGGATGATTTCCTCGCAAAGTCACAACAATGTAATGAGAGAGTAAATGAAGGCAGTGGAAAGTACTTCATAGCGCACGCACTCCCAATATAACAGCAAATCTTATGTTAGAAACACATTAAAAATCACAACCAAATCAAAACGCACATCAGACGCGATACTGAAAAATCCTGTCACAATTTGAGAACATCTTTATTTTCTTCCACCCAAGGAAAACAAGCATCTAAATTCTGTCCTTCGTGGCTGCAGCCAGAAAATATGCCCTGAAGTATGAAGAAACACTATTTGACGCCTCCCTAGACCACGCCAATACCGCGACGTAAAACTGACGAGTCATCCCCCAAACGCAAGGAAAAAATAGCCCAGATTAGAAGATCGTTTTCGCTTTGCAAGATGTTAAATGTTAACTGCCAACGCAGCGTTGCACATTCTTCTCCTTCGGTCTGAGCTATCAGTCATCTCCAACCAGAGTTATCCTAAGCCCTGGTACCATTTCGCCCCTCCCTATCGTGCGTGTGCCGAATTGTTATGGTATCGTATCGTCGTGTAGTGGAATGGATGAGAAAGTAAGGGATGATTTATTGGCCACCAATTTGCTCCTGATGGACTTCAAGAGTGTCACCATCTTGCATATCCAACTGAGGTAAAATGCGTTAGTCAAAAGTGATGCGACACCGTAGCACAGAAATATTCCCCGATGAATACAAATATCAGATCCTCCACAAAATATACAAATTGAATACACACCTTATCTGGGCTATCTGTAGCTTGAACACGGCTGCCATCAAAGAGGAAGCGAACGGAGTTTGGTGCTTTTCCTTGTCTTTCGCAGAAAGCATCCATCAACTTCTTCAACTGAGTGGAACGCTTGATCTTGAAGAAGACTTCGTTATTGTTATCGGTGACCTTGATGTTCAAGTGCTCGGAAACAGGGGCTTCGGGTCGCTCGCCAGCTGGGGATCCCTCATTGTCGGACATTTCAAAGTTGAAGTTCAGGGAATGGGTAGATGAAATTCGTGGGGTGGGTGTTTCTGAATTCAAGGCTGTAGGTGGTGGTAAATTAGTTAGTTTATGAAACAAGAGGATTATTATGTATGAAATAAACTTACAATACAGGAGTAGATTTGACCTTAGTAAATCGACCTACTTTCAAAGTGTCTGTAAAAGTTATCAGTTGTGTTGGTCGAAGATTAAGAGAAAGTCCAGTGGTGGGTAAGGAATTATGAGGAAGTCAAATTCACGCTTGTGGCTGATGACGCTAAGCTTTACCTAGGTAGGTAGTGACACAAAAAGGAAAGAGGAGTGGTGTGGCTGGAGGGGTTCTGATTGGTGTAGTGTGGTTTGCTGGAGGCTATTGTAGCCTTTCATCTAGATATAAAAAGATTCTTGAGGAACCAAAGAATGAATGAAAAAGAACTTACAATAACTTCAGACTTCTATCTACAATTGGACACCCTTCTGAAAGAGGTTGATTGCAGCTCTCGTATTTGCGATCAAAGATCTCTACAGTATCTAAGGACCCAGGTTGCCACAGTTATATACATTCAGTCAAAAGGAAACTCCCTGGTGGTTCATTTGCTGAGAACCCAGATTGAATATGGTGATACCATTTTTCTATCAAGTCAAATTGCCTTTTCTTCTTTTAGAAGTCATTGATACTAATATCTATGGACTTTCAGCCACTCAAAAATGATATAACTATAGAACAACCTTGCCATTCCAAAGCTGTATGTTACACCCACCAATCCACATTGCCTTTTGCAAATAGCTGACAATACTGAGCTGGATAAAGTGTGCCATCCAAGGTCAGCATCTTTCTCTCAAAGCCAATTAGGAACTCAACTGATGATTGACATATTAGATTGTCTTGCAAAGAATAATTACAACCAAGACAAGTGTAGATCGCAGATTGATGCACTATATGATTGCTGTAATGCATTCTATGAGAAGAATGGTGATGACGCAAAGAGTGTCTCCTGTCCCAAGGCAAATTTGCTACGGTTGAAGATGAAGCAGAGATCAGAAGAGAGACGGGCATAAAGTAATAGACGTGCGACCCAGATAAGAAGGGATCTTGAGAGCTTTCTATATCCATCCATTCATTGATACTGCAACTCTCATAGTATACTCTCAAAGTACGCCGATATTGGTAGATACATTACATAAAACACCATCATCACAAATCACGTTTTTAGGCACATCAATATTACAGTCGAGTTTCTTACGAAAAGATGTAACTCTCCAAGTTTACTGCCATCCTTCACACCTCCGAAAAGGTCAGGTAACGGAAACAGGGAGAGTCTTTAATATGGCCGATCATGAGCGCGCAAAGAGATCCCAACGGACCTAACCAAACATTGAAGGCTTGATTCGAGACTCTAATTAGAAGGGCGGTAAAAACATTGTAAAGAAGAAATGTCTAAATTTGCAAGCAAGAAATCTCTTAAATAGAAGATTTCCTTAGCGTTAAATTGCATATTGCGCTAAACTTTACCTGGTACCTAGCAGTACTGAAGAGTTAAGACCGCATATAAAAATTAATAATCCCTGACATTTCAGGACACGACCAAATTGTTCCAAGGCCGAAGCTTCAATTTGTTGATTTGAGGATTTGGTCCGTCCATATAATATCAACATTAAACAAATTGTACACTACCTACTTTTTCTTGTTTCTTTCCCTTTCCCTTTCCCTTTCCCTTTCCAAGTATCGCATCGCATTGTAAAATATGGCGCCCATGTCAACGCGCAATTCTGCGATGAATAACCACACAAATGGATTGGATGTACCAAAGTCACAGGTAAATAAATATTGATAGCCTGAATTACACGGGAATTGAAGCTGACTTGAAGTTTCCTTTTTCTAGAATCATCGTGAAGGAAGTTGGCAAATGATAGCTGTAAGTTTCTTTGGAATGCAATTCAGAATATTCAAGAATGCTAAACCTTACGCGCAGCAGGAATCAAGATTTGAAAGAGAACTTTCTGAAGACCCTTCTTCTTACGATGGAATGTCGCGCTATGGAGAAGAGCAAGAGCAAGAGCGATGTCAGTAATTCTTATGATTTTTCAATGATGTTTATGCGCCTTGTATTTACTAACTTCTGTGATTGGTAGTTGCATATGAAAAACCAGCTATGTTAAAAAGTTCTGGAGAAACAGAAGCCGTCTTATACCCCCTTCAAGATGCTGCGAATCGAGTCGGAAATGAGGTGGAGAAGTTTGCGGAATTTCTTGATGGTTACAATCCTTTAAGAGTGACAGATGGGGATGAGAGACGAGAGATGGCATTCGATTTGATTGAGCTCTATCATAGAACTGCTCTCGATACTCTAGACCGTTTACGGGATCGTCATGAATCCGAACGCCGAAGAATGGAGGGTTTGAGTTGGAGGAAGAAGATGAGAGGTTTCAAAATCACGCAAGATACTGGTGAAGTGGACATGGAAAACTCGGACGAGGAAGAGGAGTTTATAACCAATTCCAGAACAACAGTGAAGGATCTGATTAGATGGGAACAGGAGGCG